GTTTTTACAGGAAAGTGATGTTTCCTAAGGGGAGATGGGGAAACAAGGCTCTTCCGACCTACTCCTCCCTCCCGCAGGAGTGTGTGTGTCGCCCTGGAGAAGGTTGTGTTGCTGAAACAGAGCAACGGGATGTTCCTCCTGCTCTGGGCTGGGCTGGCTTCTCCGGCACACCTGGATGGCAACCTCACCTGCACCTTTGGCCCGTGGCCCACAGGAGGGAGTCCAGATCTGCAGCAGGCTGGTGAGGGGGGTCATTCAAGCCAAACCTTCTTGGTTTTAAGCTGGTAGAGAGGGAAAAAAATGCCCCTCTTGGGTTTTCCTCCGGAACTGATGCTGATAAAGGACTTTTTGTTGCTGATTGTAGTAGAGACAGGGTTTGCTCCAGCAGCGTGTGGGTTAACTGGGACATTTCCAGAGGAGGCTGGTGTTCCCAGTGAGACCGAGTTTGGTGGTTTTCTCCTGAAGCATCATGAATTTGTCAGAATATCACCAGCTTGGAAAAGCTGCTACTTCTTGCAGCGGTCGGTTATAGTTTTCCTAGCTTCAAAGCAGCATCAGACTGTAGTTTTTGCTGCATGTATAAGCAAAAAGGCCCAGTTTTGCTCCTCCTAGACACACGTGTGCACACACACACTGCATATTTGATGGAAATCTGCAGTATTTTTCCCTTCTAGAAGCTAGAGAGATGAGGCTCCTGATCTGATTGTCCCAGTTAAGTGCCTAAAGTGAAGTGAAGTGACTTTCCCTACAGACTGGCTGGACAGTCCTTTAGCCCCTGCTCTGGGGCGACCTGGTGGCCCTGCGTTTCAGTGGCCCTGCATTTCAGTGGCCCTGTGTTTCAGTGGCCCTGTGGCACGGTGCTTTTCCAGATGTCCCCCAGGCCCGCCCCTCGCTGGAAAAACCTCCTGCCTCTGGCCACTGCTGTGATTTCGAAATGCCGTGTCATTAGAAACGGAATATGTTCCTCTAATTATGAGGAAGAAAAACACCCATCAGGGTTCCTGTGCCTGCTGGTGTGAGTGACATCCAGCTGTACTTTGGAAAGAGCGGTTTATCTAAGAGCTTAATTGGGATAAAACCACAAGGACTTGTTTGGGACTGATTGTCCCTAACTGCTCCAGCTGCTGGGCACCACAGATGTACTTGCTGAGCTTTATTTGCCGTACGGGAGAGCTGTGAACTGTGGTGACACAACAGCCCCAGGAATCTCCAGTTCAAGGTAGGCCATCTGCACGGTTGGCCATGGTTATTTTCAACTGAACAAGGAGTAGGAAAAGCCTTTTCTACAGCGGGGAAAAAGGAAAAAAAAAAAAAAAAAGTGTTCCAGTCCTACTATCCTTACTGGGAAATAAAAGACAAAGCTGTGGTTCACATTAGTATACTGGTATACTAACATGTCTATATGTATGTACTACATTTCTTGTGGTATCTAATATCTCCTACCCTCTGGTGTTGTCCTATGTCCATGTCAGAAAGATAGAAGGTCCCTTTCCATGTTCTGCCAGTCTTGGAAGACAACTGTTCTTGAGACTTCCTCCTTTCCAGACTTTTTAAAGTGAATTTTCTTGCTGTTAATTGGCAAACCCACTCCCTGGGAGGTGTGTGACATTCATGGTGTCCTTGGAGCACCCTCTTCTCTGCTCCTCTTTAGCAACAGCCGTGGCTAGAAGAGTTTCCTGGCTTTACTCTTTCTGCAGAAAGCAGTCTTTGGCAGCCATGGGCTCAATGGTGGTGAGGGTGCAGTGTTTTAGGGATGAGATGTTGCTCTTGATGATCCTTCTGTACAGACCTCGAGTCTGAAACGCATGAGCTTGGTTCTCCTTGCAATTACATTCATGCAGAATGAAAGCAGCTCCCCTGAAGTGAAGGGCTGTGCAACTTCAAACCAGACAGGAGGGAGACAACTAGAGCTGCTGGATGGGTCTCGGAAATTGTTCCTCTGTACATAAAAAATGGTACCTTTAATTGCACCTTTCATACACGGTGCCGGCTGAAGCGCAGGCGTTGCTGTGGGGGAGTGATGCACTTGCAGGTGACATGGGTTCCTCAGCACTGGAGGGACCAGGCACATGAGGGGAAGGAGAAACCGTGTGATGCTGCCCCTCCCCAGGGCTGCACTTCACCAGTGAATCGGGGCTTCTTAAATACAACTTCAGCCTGGAGAAGAGAAAGCTCTGGGAAAGTCTCAGAGCCCCTTCCCGTCCCTCAAGGGGCTCCAGGAGAGATGGGGAGGGACTCTGGATCAGGGAGGGGAGCCCTAGGAGGAGGGGGAAGGGTTTGACCCTGAAAGAGGGGAGATGGAGATGAGATGTGGGGAAGAACTTGTTTGGTGTGAGGGTGGTGAGAGCCTGGCCCAGGTTGCCCAGAGAAGCTGTGGCTGCCCCATCCCTGGAGGGGTTCAAGGGCAGGTTGGAGGGGGCTTGGAGCAACCTGGGCTGGTGGGAGGTGTCCCTGCCCAGGGCAGGGGGTGGTGATCTTTAGGTCCCTTTAGATCTTTAAAGTCCCTTCCCACCCAAACCATTCTGTGATTGTAAAATGAAACCGTATCCCATTTAAATGGGAGATTAGCTGAAAGGGGGAGTAGATATGGCAGAATAAGGTCCCGTTTATTCTGACAGAGCCTGTCCGTGTGTGGCACTTGTAGCAGTGTCCTGGTTCTCCCATGGCTTTCCCAGACCAGCCTTAACTCCCCTCCTGCTTTGCTCCCAAGACCTGCCTGTGGCCGGTGGGATGTAGAGTGAGCAGGAACACAAGTGCTGCCGCCCAACAGCCTCACAACTGTGAGAGCCAACAGCTGAAATGACGTGGGCAGCGTTTCCAGCAGCAAACCACAGCTAAATTAAGTGAAATAAAAGGTCTCCTTTTGTCCTTTCTCTCAGGAGCATCGCTGGAGAGCCCCGTGTGGGACCGATGCGGGTTTCGGACTGGAGCAAGGAACGGAGCAAAGCTGCCTAAGGTCAGTTGCAGGGTCAGTGGGGCTTTGGAGGGCATCAGGAGGTTCCTCATGGAGGCTGACGTTTGAGGAGACTTTAGGGAGTCCAGTTGGACGTGGCCTGAATTGTAATACATGTGAGGAAATGTTTTGTGGGGCATTTCTCTGGATCTCGCTGGCTACGTGCTCTGCAGCGAGTCTTTCACTCCCAGCTGTGCACCCAGGTTGTTGTGATGGAGCTGCCAGCTCAGAAACACATTCTCTGCTGCTCTGCCTCGCACCACACCCCTGGCTTTAAGACCTGGCTTTGGAGGTTGTGTACATATGCTTGGACCTGTATTTTCAAGCTAATAACAGAATGTTACCTAATACCCCGCTTACCTCCTCTTAGCTAATTGGAAAAGCAGTTCTTTACCGTGTTCCTTTCTTCTGAGGAAGACAGAGATGCTGATAGACACCTAAGGTTTTAGCTGCAAATGTGCCAGTTCAACAAAATCTTTGTCTGCATCTAGTAAATCAACGCCCAGTTTCTGTGCGTGTTGTTTTTGCATCGCTTTATCCATCTCTTTTGGTGTTTAATATGAAAGTGCTCATAACAGGTGCTTTTTTGATATTTATTTTTTTTTTTAATTGAACATTCGTTGTGGAACACTGTGTTCAGACTGGAAAAAAAGCGTAGTCCTTAGACACGCTGGGGTGTCCCTTCTGCCTGCTTGGCAGAGGACCTGTTGTACCCGCGCGGCTGGCCAGGCCATTACTCACTATTATTTCAGGAAAGAACCTGAACGAACCTTCAGCAAACGAGGGGATGACTCAGGGGTTACTGAAAATAAAGCTGCACTGTCAGCTGGAGTCCTGAAGCAGAGGACGCCTGGCTGAGGTAGGGGCTGGGCTGCATTTTAAACAGCCCACTTTAAACCTTTTACATTTTCCTGAGTCGGACACCCCTCAGTGCCCGCTCTGAGCCCAGGGAGCAGCTTTGGGACTATCACATCTTCTCCCCTGCCCTTATCTCAGCCGGGATCAGCAGCAGCCCCTGGAGGAGGAAGCTCAGCTGAGCTGTTGCAGCGTGAGCAGATCAGAGAGAAGGATCTGGGATGGGAATAACAACCTTGACATCAGGGTTTCTCGGGCGTTATCTGCGTTGGGAGCCAGGGATGGGTTATTAGCCCTGTTCTAGCACATCCCAGCCCGGCCTGGCGGGTGGTTTGCCCACCATCCTGCAGCAGATCCATCACAGAGCTGGGAGGAGAGTGCAGGAGTGTGTCTCTCCAGCAGCTCACCTACTGCAGACTCGGCACTAATTGCTTCTGGGCAGTTCATAGGGGCAGGGGAAAGCGTGTGCTGGTGGGGACAGAGGTGGGGAGACATCCTGATAGATGTTTGGTCAGAGCTTCATCACCTTCTCACCAACCTGAGGCAGCCCTGGGCTGCAGCCCTGACTTCTCAGAAGTTCTCTAAACTCACATCCCCAACCACTTGTCTTTAGGAATTGGCAAAAAGTGTATCTGAGGGTCTGGCTGTGTGTGTTGGGAGACACACCAAAGCTGGGCCTCCGGGACCCTGAGGTGACCACAGCGATAGAAGGTGAAATAAACGGAGGAAGGTGAGAGCACCTGGCAATTTCCCCTGCAGTGAATAGTGATAATCACACCTGTGCACCTCATTTAATTAGCTAGACAGTCGCTGTTGAGTGCTAATTAGGGTGCCTGTCCCTGATGCTGCCTGGGTACCACTGCTGGAAGCGCCTCTGAGACTCCAGGGCTTGCGGGTACCCCAGCAGCAGTGGGGTGCCTGTTCCCCCTTCCCGTGGGGCAAACCCGTCCGGAAACGCTTGGTTTGGGAAGAAATTCAGTGGGGTGAGAGCTGGGGGGCTGCTCTCTGCCTCCCCATGGCAGCGCAGGGCTGGGGATCGGTGGCATTTGCTGGAGAATGCGAGGAATGTAGAGGAGAGCGGAGAGGGAGGGGAGGCCTGAACGGAGAAACCTGTTTGATTCCCCTGAAGGGCAAAAACACACCCAAGTCTCCTCCTCAAAACAAGGCTTGGCTTCCAGGAGCCAGCCCTCTCGGTCCAGCCGGCAGGTAAAGCAGCGCTCAGCCTGGCCCACAGCCACCCTGCTGCTGGGGAGGATTGGGGGGACCCGCTGCCAGCCCTTGGGGGGCAACGAGTGCCGGGACATTGCTCACAGACCTGCTCCACGTCCGTCTTTTTTGGGGGGAAACCGCAGCTGAGGAGGCTCCGCAGGTAGGGCTGGGCAGGGAGGCTGCTCCTCTGAGCCCTGTGGAGGGGGGTTGCTGCTGCTCTCCCCGCTTCTCCTGCTCTCCCTGCCTCCTCTGGGGAGGAGGAGGAGGAAAAGGAGGGTTGTCCTTTCCTAATCTGCTGCAGCGGGGATGAGGGAGACTTGAGCTGATACCTTAAATCCTTAAAATGAAGCTTTTTTCTGTAGTGTGTCGGACCAAAGTGTGGGTTTAAAACGGTCCTCGAGCACTAGAGGGATGGTGTTAGGGACAAGAGCTCAAACGGGGCAGAAGAGGGGAGGTTTGGGTGTGGGTCTTTGTTGCTTTTCTCGTCTGATCACTGAGTTCTCTCCCTGCCCATCGCCCCACATGGTGTCCTAAAATCTGCCCCCCTCTTAGTTTACCTGAGGGCAGTGCATTTTGCTGGCTGGGGAAAAGCCTGTGTGGGGGCAGGAGACAGCAGAGCCCGGGCAATGCGGGGAAAATTGGAGCCTGTGACCCTTGGCAGCCCCTTGAGAGGCTCAGGGTAAGGTGCACCTCTCTCTGCCCCACCAGCCCCACCACCCCAGGACCCGTGTGGGGCAGAGAGGGGCACAGACAGAGATTTATCCCTCTCTCCTGCTCTGCCTTGTTGCTTTGTTTTGTTTTTCTCGGAATTAGTATGAAATCAGCGCAGGGGAAAGGAAGGGATGGGAGTGGTGGAGCTGGTACGGAGGAGATGAGCACCTCCCTCGGTCCTTGCTTCATCCCACCTCCCAGCCTGGAGAAATCTTCTCCCTTTCCCCGTCCCCACCCCTCTGCTCAGCCCACCCAGGACAAACCTGGAACAGAGGGGTGAGCTGGGCTCAGCTGGACACGTTTCTCCACCACAAGGTGGGGAGCAGAGGTGTCCTCCCTCATCGGATTGATTGGGACGTTGCACTTAGGCTGGTTTATTTAATTCATCCAGGAAACACAAAGCATTAAATGTGTTCTCTCAAATTTATCATGCTTTAATTAGAAGTCCTGATTTCCACATATGACGGATTTTAGTTTCGTTTTCCAAAAACGTTGTGTTATTTTTTTTTTCTTGGCAAAACTTTGCGCCGTCTCCGCAACGTCCTGAAGCTTCAGGGAGCTTTTCTGTCCTGCTTCGTATGTGTGTCTGCGATGCCAACACACAGCTCTGCCTTTCAAAGCAAAACAGAGCTTTTCCTTCCTTCTTGCTTTCATCTTTAGACATCAAGGCTTAAGGTCAACGGCGTGTGGGTGCGGTAAAGGTCCTTTACATCCTTCTTCCTTTTCAAATACAGAAATTAGTTGGGCAATTAGGAATTAGTGCCTTGTAATTAGAGTAATGAAACTATATACGCGGTATAGTGAAAAATGGTACAGTAGTTTTTGGCAGTAAGAGCAGGCAGTTGTTGTGTTTGGGGGTGCACAGCTCCTGCCACAGCAGCGCCCCGAGAAGATCTCCTGGGACAGGCAGGTTTCTGTGCTCCTCTACTTACATTTATGCCGCTCTTCCCTGACTTCAATAGCTACGTCTTGGCCACCTTCTCGATTTTTTTTGGTGTGTGGGGTGTGTGGTTGCAAGAGAATCAAAAGAAATTCTAATGGTGCATTTGTAGCTCTACAGCTGTTGTCTCAGACGTGGCTGAAACGTGTCTGCGTCGCTCGTGTTATTGGGTTCTGTGCAGGCTTTCCCCGCAGCAATTGCAGGTTTTCACCTCTCTTTTCCCTGTGCTGGGGGGAGAAGAGGCGTTTGCTGTCCCCAGGTAGAGGTGACCAAGATCCTGAGGGACCGTGGTGTGGGGCTGAGGCTCTGCTGCAGCTACAGGGGTTTGGTGCTTCTGCGATTTGTATTCAGGGTGATGTCAGACACCCTGGAAAAGGTGGGCACACCGTTTGATGACCATGAAGCGGTTTAAATTATTTGACTCTCATCATGGGAGAACTGTGGCAGAGACATGAAGTGTCACCTGCAGCAGAGGAGCCATCCATCCCCTCCTCAGGCTCCTCTCGGGGTGGTTCCTAGGGAAAGGAGCCTCCTCTTGTAGCCTGGCTTCCCTGTAGAGCATCTCTGCGTGTGCCCAGCAAGGCACCATGAGCTCTTGTATGAGCCCAGAAGGGTCAGTTTAAGGTTGTCTGGGCTGCTTCAGCTGTGGCGTTTCTGATTGTTCACAACCCTGACTCCAGAAATCTTGGGTATCACCACGTGCGTATGTAACTGTGTCGGCATCAAACAGTCACTGTGTGGGAAATGGGGCAGCAAGAGAGGAATCTGGTCCTTCAGAGAAGCTAAACATTGTCTGAAATGTGAGGACTCCTCTCCCTGCCTGCGTGGATGACCATTCCGCTGGTGTTTAAGCATGATCAGCCTTTGTGCTGCTCGGAGGCGGTTATTGATGAGTTTGTCTCCCTTTGCAAGCCCACAGCCACCCAGTTGCTCCTCATGTTGGGCCAATATCAGGGCACGACGTGTAGTTTGCCATCGGGGCTCAGCCCAAGCCCTGCAGTGTGCCTCGGGCGGTGGGGCTGGACTTCCAGGGACTCACAACCTCCCACTCCCACCTGAGATCCCAAATTGTGAGTTCTCGGTGCGAAGGCTGGGCTGTGATCCCTGTTCCCACTCATTTCCCCCCAGCACAGATGGTGGGATGGAAGGGCCTGTCCTTCCCAGGCACCGGCTGGCCTGTTCCCACTCATTTCCCCCCAGCACAGACAGTGGGATGGAAGGGCCCGTCCTTCCCCGGCACCGGCTGTCGTTCAAGTCAAGAGCTCAAGGGTGAAATAAATCCGGTTTTAAAGAATGCTGGCTCGGAACATCCCAGCCCCTGGGATAATCCAGAATAAACTCCCTTTGCTGGTTCAGACTTGCTGAGATGGATTTCAAGGGTTAACTTTGCCCTGGCAGGGTTTATGCTGGATCAGGTACAGTCCATCCAGGCCGCCCTGGCTTCACAGCAGATCAGGTAACCGCTGACATGAAAGCGTGGGGTTGGCACAAGGTTGGCATTGTGTGCTCTGCCCAATGCGGGAGGAAGGCCGGTACGTGCCCGTGCCTAATGCGCACAGATGGTGGGATGGAAGGGCCTGTCCTTCCCAGGCACCGGCTGGGTTCAAGTCAAGAGCTCAAGGGTGAAATAAATCCGGTTTTAAAGAATGCTGGCTCGGAACATCCCAGCCCCTGGGATAATCCAGAATAAACTCCCTTTGCTGGTTCAGACTTGCTGAGATGGATTTCAAGGGTTAACTTTGCCCTGGCAGGGTTTATGCTGGATCAGGTACGGTCCATCCAGGCCGCCCTGGCTTCTCAGCAGATCAGGTAACCGCTGACATGAAAGCGTGGGGTTGGCACAAGGTTGGCATTGTGTGCTCTGCCCGATGCAGGAGGAAGGCTGGTACGTGCCCGCGCCTAATGCAGGTCACTGGAGGGACTCTGGCGTGCAGGGACCTGGGTTTGCAACCCTGCAACCCAAAAACTGCCTTTCCAGGGCAGGGTGTCTCCCTGCTGCGTGTAACCCGCCTGGAGAAGCTCCCTCTCCTGGGCTTTCCCTCCTGAGGGTTTGTAAAAGTTGGGCTTGAGCTGTGAAAAGCCCCACCTTTCACCAGATGGGCTGGAGAGGGGGGACTCGGACCCTAAGTTAGGTCTAGACAACAAAATTCACCGCGGGGTTTGGGAGGTTCAAATGAGGAAGGTTCAAACCTCTTGCAAGCTTTGCAATGCGTTTTAATTTGAGGATGGTGAAGGTCAATTATCGTCAATTATCGTTAAACCAGGATATTCTTCCGCGTGACTGAGCTGGGGTCTGTTTGTGGCTGCGGGTCAGCGCTCAGGTCGCTGGCCATGGCCTCCGTTAGTGCGCAGGTTCCTCGCTGGTGGAAGGAGGTCCTTGCTGGTGGAGGAGCATGTGAGAGCTCCTCGGGTGGTCCTTGCCAGCGGGCAGCAGAGCCCGGAGCTGCTGGCCCTGTGTCCCGGGTCACCGCGGGCAGCACAGGGTGGCTGTGCAGTTGGTCACATAAGTGACACCACGTGGGCTTTGGGCTGAAGGAACTGCTTCAGGGCACAGTTTGCCACCCGTTAATGACCTTCCTGGTGCGGCACCAAGAGTTTAACTCCCTGTTAAATCCCTGGGTCGGCTGTGGGTGCCTGTCCAGAAAGGGTCTGATGGATCCAGCATTTCCCGGTGCAGAGCATCTCACCGTGCGGCTCTCACGGGGTGAAGTGAGCCTGGTGGCCCAGACATCTAAGGGACATCCCGTCCTGAGACTGGGGAGCGAGGCAGTGGGGACAGGAGCGCTGTAAGGTGGCCTGGGGGGCTGGCCTGGCCCGTGGGGACAGCTGGGGGGCTCTAAAGGCACCCTGTGGTGCTCTCCAGGAAAGCTGGATTTTTACAGGATCGAAGCGGCTCCGCTTCCTTCCCCAGGGCGTTCATTCAGTCCTCAGAACTGGGTCGAACACAGGATCCAGCTCATCACCAGGATGAACGGAGCACAAGGTGGCTATTGCTGCAAGTGCCCCCCAAACTCCTGACAACAGCAGGCTAAAAAAGTGCTTTTCCCTCTGTACAGCCGCAGCTGGGCCGTGAGGGAGGCACATGGCTGGCAGGTTCTTCTCCTGCACGTTGGCAGGTCATAGGAGCTGCCGTCAGCTTTTAAAGAATACTAAGTGTTTCATCTCCTGGGGTGTAATTACAGCTTTTTAAGTGGCTTGCACAGAAAGCAGCATCGTTCCCAATTAAGTGATGGGCTTGCTGATTTCAGGCGCTTGAAGAACTTCTTAGCAGAGAGAGCTGGTCTGGCTGTACGTCAGCTCCTGTGCAGAGCACCGCATGAGCGGGCAAGGTTGTGTCACCATTCCCTCCGCCAGCTGCCCAGGGCCACCTGCAGCGTCTGTGGCCTTGGGGACAGACAAGAACAAGGCTGTAGGTAGTCCCTTGTTGAGCCCACGGGCTGTGATCCCTGGGGATTGCACCCTGCTCAGGCTGAGAGAGGAGTTTGTGGTGCCTGGGTCACCTCTGGGCT